AGTTGGAAGAAGTGACAAAGAAACTTTCTCTATTACCACAAGAAATATATAATGTTTCACTGGTTCAGTGGTAGCTGAAACAATGGCAGCAACAACCTACTCCATGTGAGAAGACCATGAAGCTTGAGGAAACCTTCTATTAATTCTTGATAATGAGCTTATCTTATTGTAAGAATATAGAGGCTGCATTTAAAAGCATGAAGACGCACATTGGGTAATTTGTCAACAAGATGGAGGGTTGTGAGAGGAATGCAAAAAGTAATCTTAGGGAAGAGTGTAAGACCATTGTTACTAGAAGTGGTAAAGTGTTAGATGAGAGAAAAATAGAGAGAAAATAGAAAGAAAATGTGAGTGAGAAAGAAGTAATTGAGCGGAAAGAGAGAATTGAAGGACAAAAAAAGAAAGAAGAGGTAGATGAGAGAAAAAAAAGAAAAAGATGTTGAAAATCCACTTCCTTATCCAAAGACTTATTCAAGGAAGGAGAAAGAAAGACAGCTTGAGCGGTTCATGGAGATTTTTAAGAAGCTGGAGATTACCATACCCTCCTTTGAAGCATTGCAACAAATGCCTTCGTATGCAAAGTTTTTGAAGGAGCTCCTCACGAAGAAAAGAAAATACAGTGCAAAGGAGACTATTGAAGTACAAGGTAATTGTAGTGCAATCATACAAAAATTATTATCTCCTAAGTTTAAAGATCCAAGAAGCTTCACCATTCTGTGTACCATAGGAGAGTTGGAAGTTGAAAGATCATTGATTGATTTGGGAGCTAGCATTAATTTAATACCACTCGCTATGTTCAAAAGAATTGAAGGTTTGGAACTCAAACCTACTAGAATGGCACTCCAATTGGCGGACAGGTCTCTTAAATATCCGTATGGGGTGGTTGAAGATGTGCTGGTGAAGGTAGACAAATTTGTATTTCCAGTGGATTTTGTCATAATGGAGATGGAGGAGAATGGAGATGTGCCTCTTGTCCTGGGGAGACCATTTATGAAGACTGCTAGAGTTTTAATTGATGTCAAGAATGGCAAGCTTAAAGTGAGAGTGCAAGATGAATAAGTGAATTTTGATGTATTCAAAGCCATGACACACCTTAAAGATGATAAAGCATGTTTCCAATTTGATATGCTTGATGAAGTTTGTATGATGCAAGAGAAGATGGTACGTTGTTCTTCTCCGTTAGAAAAAACTCTTATTGATGCTTGTGAAGATTTGAATGAAGAGGAAGAGAAATTAATTGATGATTGTATGACGGATTTGGAGACGTTAAAGGAAATCCCATTTGAGGAGGCTAATTTTGAGATGATTGATACCAAAGAAGAAGTCAAAGAAAAGAAGTTGGAATTAAAGATGTTACCATCACATTTGAAGTATGTTTTCTTAGAAGAAGATGTAACTAATTCAGTCATCATTAGTAATTCTTTGTTTCCTGAAGAAGAAGAAAAGTTGGTAGAAATATTGAAAGCCAACAAAGAAGCTATTGGATGGTTAATCTCTGATCTTAAAGGTATAAGCCCAACTTACTGCATGCATAAAATATTTATGGAGGATGACTATAGACCAAGTGCTCAATCACAAAGAAGGTTAAATCCTGTGATGAAGGAGGTGGTTAGAAAAGAAGTACTAAAGCTGCTGGAAGCTGTCATTATATATCCAATCTCTGACAGTGAATGGGTGAGTCCAGTACAGGTAGTGCCAAAGAAAGGTGGGATGACAATAATTTATAATGAGAATAATAAGCTTATTCCTACTAGGACAGTTACTGGGTCGGTGTTTGGCGAATCTGGATATTGTCCTCAAGAGATGTGTTCAAACAAATCTTGATGTGATCATAAATGGGGCAACAATGAAGAGTTTTCAAAGTGACAACAGGCATAAAAAAGAGTAGAATAGGTTTCATAGGCGTTTATTTGCCTCTTTGATTTCTTTCTCTTAGTTCTTGTGAATAAACGCTTATAAACTCTTCTTTCTCTTTAAGAACAAGCAATGTCGGACTCTCCATGGCTTGGTTTTAAAAAGAAAAGAAGAGGAAATGTAGCATTAGATAGCATAACTAGTTTTCATGTTTTGAACTATAGGAGAACTAGTTGCCTTATAAACCCTTTGGAGTGCAGAGAATTGAGCAATGTGGGACTCAAAAGTTCCTAGAGGAACTGCAGCAGTGATGGACAAATTTATGAACACCAAAATATGATGTCACAGACTTGTTTTTCAATCGGCAAGTATGACCGAATCGTTCAAGTAATAAACTTGGTAAGACCAAGTATCGTTCTTCCCAAAGGACTCACGGCCTAGTTTAGTTGTGTGGTTTATTGATTAGCTAAGACTTAAAGACGAAATATTTGGATTTTTATATGCAAAAGACGAAAATTAAATATGTATGCATGAAGTTTTGATCAATGGCAAAAGCAAAAGATAAACACTTTCAATGAAATATATGTATGAATATGTTGTTGGGGGTCAATTTCATCTTATCCACTCTCATATATTTTAGGAATTCAACATTCAAAT